GATTTAGATTCAACATTAAAAACCTCCTAACATCATGCACCACTTTGTTCTTCTTTTTCCAACAAATAATCAAAAAAAATATTTATGTGATCGAGCTTAATTATTGGTGTACATGACACATATATATCTTCAGTTTGCACCAGAAGAATGGTTCCACACAAGCATTTCGCAGACATACATAGCAGCCAGCAACAACGTCATGCATGTGGATTTTCATTTTAATTTCTTCTTCCCTTTAATCTGCGAGCTGTGAATATGTCCAGCATATGCTCCTATATAAATTTAATGGCGGCTTCTTCTCTCCTCTCCTCTCAATGCTGTCCATACTACGCATATATACGTTCTCAACACTTTCGCTAGCAGCTTATAGCTTATATATCACCATCTCTCAGCTCCCTCAGCTCCTCTCCCCTCTCACCTGCATTTTGCACTCACCAAAACCCTCATCACATCTCAAACTTTCACATCATACCAACTCTCCCAAGAACTCCAGTCTCCGATCCTCATCTTGCTAGCTGCTCGATCTGCATGGGTTGCTACTGGCAGAGAAGCTGCAGGAAGAAGAAGGCTCATCATCATCTACAGTTTCGCTGGTCGTCCTTGCTTGTGCTTCTTCTTCTGCTGCTGCTGCTGCTGATGGTGCCGAGATGCAAGGCTTCGAGGGGCATGCAGACCTTCAAGGCCAGGCCATTGGAGAGGGGAGCTTCCAACCATTTCCTCGGGTTCTTGCCGAGAGGGCCCATCCCTCCGTCCGGCCCGTCGAGGCAGCACAACTCCATCGGCCTCGACAGCCAGCTGCAGACTCCATGAAGAAGAAGAAGAAGAAGAAGGAGAAGGAGAGCTATAGATTTGGAGTATATAGTATAGAGATCATTATATAGATACATTTTTTATGTGGTGTAATTAGTAGTATTGATTATATATATATATATGAGCTGCAGCCTGCATGTGCCATGTAGGAAGTGGTTACATATTTTGGAGATCAAAGAAAAGGGAGCAGGTTTTGGTGATTAACAACGACTTTGATCACTTGGGGGGAAGCTTCTCTTCCATTTTCTTACTCTGGGATGCAGAGTTGTTGATGCTCTTTTTCTTTTATTTGTAAACCTGATTTCATTTGTTTATTAAAGCTAAACAATGATATGATGATGCATACTGCTATGGCATTCTTTCTCTCGAGAGAAAAGGAGAGGATGTCTGAAATTGGTCGGCTGCTGATGACTTTCCTGCAGCTTAGTTGGGGCAGAATTGCAGGGCCAGCTTTGACGAAAAACGTTGAAGTTGGGAGCACCTTGCCCAACAGCTGATCCTACTTCTTTGACCATATAAATTAAAGATTTTCTCCTTAGAGGGCAGCGTATCCCTATCATTTTTATCCCTCATTATATATAGATAAAACGTTGTTGCATGATGTAAGTCGCTTTAAATATTTCTCGAAACTATATGTGTTTTCTAAAACAATCTCTCCATGAAGACATTTAAATATGTGTGCCCCCATGTACTCTCTCCATTCCAACTGTTACATTTATATATTGTCTAGTAGAGATTAAGATCGAGGAGAAAATATATACTTTTGATGCCCATGGAGTGTGAGATTGGTTAGCGATAAGTTTTTTTTAAAAGTTAGGAACTTAGCTTATCGAACATATGGAACTTAGCTCTCGAATAACCCTATATGAAATTCCCTACTATGGAGACTTGAACTCAGGATTTTTGATGCTACTCAGGTCACTGTAACTATTAGACTACATGCTCTTTCACGGTTAGTGGTAGGTTAGAAAGAAATTTAAATGAAATATGATTGATGGGATAATTAAGTAGTAGTCTCAATAGTGTAAAAGATACTTATATTTAGAAACGTTTGATTTAAATGGCCGTTGAGATCGACAGTAATAGCGGTTTGCAACTGAATCATTTATCCTCACAAGCTCAAAGTTTGGTGTGTTGGATACGCATTAAACTTGCGCCAGGTAGTTGGATGCGATCTCGCTAACCTTTGTCAGTCGATGCTAATTAATTAACTAACTAATATCACGTCATATGTTGTCGCTAATTAAACAGTGCGTATGCTTATTACTAGCCTTCTGCAGAGGGTAGTTGGTTGACACTTTTTGCCTGTGATATTTGGTCAAGTAGTAGAGATCTATCGATGGAAAGAACAAGCAGGTGTGGACGAGAAGGATGAAGGCGTGATGACATGACGCTATTTGGACATGCTGCTTTTTCGTACAGTATAAAATATATATTTTTTCCTCCCCTGGAGAGAATGCTAATAAGCTGATCGCTTGGAAAATCGCTTGGAAATTGTGATGTGCTCGTCTGAACTAACAAACACGGTTTGATATCGACTAGTTCAGAAAGATAAAGCCAGGAGCCTAGGAGGCAGGAAACTAGACTGCATCCAAGCAATGCATGCGAGGAGATTAGTGGTTTAATTAGAACGTCTTAGTACAGTGATTGCAAAGGCTCATGCGAGACATCATCTGAACAACTCGTGATTGAAACCAACCCTTTCATCACAACGCCTGATTGCAGAGGTTCATGTCAGACATCGGTCCTTTTCGATCTTCAAATTGCATTTCGGATCATAACTAAAACACAATCGTGCAGTACGACCTCTCAGATCATCACAAGCGATTAAAAAAAAAGCCTCTTGTTGGTGGCTGCAGAACGTGAGCTCAGCTCATTAACTGGCAGAGACGCCCACACAGTGACCTGGAAGCTTTCTAGGACATTGGCAAGGACGACGCAAGAGCGCACGAATAGTGTGATCTTTTCGCCGCCCTTTTCGCAGTTACTACCACTCGTCATTCGATCTGAACAGGGAATGCGGACGACGTTTCAGAGAGGTGCAGACGAAAGAGGCCAATGCACCACATTCACGGCCAATAAAGATAACCTGTGCAGCTGCTGCTGCTAGCCTCCGTTCAGGGTTTACAATAACGATTGACCACTAAATTTTGAGCCCCATCAGTATCACGATTTTTGATAAATTTCGATTGGTTTTCGATAAATTTTGACCAAATTTATTGTTTAACCTTCGAAATTCCAATCGAAACTTAATTCCGAGCCATGTCAAAGTGTCAAAATTTTACGGAATTCGACTGGTTTTCATTGGAATTGTGAACCCTGCCTTATTCGTCTCGCGTCCGTCGTCTGAAAGATCAATAGAAATGTAGTAGAATGCTACAATGCCAGCCTGCCTGTCGTCCTGTGCGAGAACAGTATGCTCGACTTTTACCCAATTTTGACCTCTCGATCGGTCAAGGCGTGCAATGCAACCGTGCTGTGCGTAAGTTGTGAACTTGTGATGAGCTGCTGCAAAATTTACACTAGAGGGTGACGCTGCAGCTGGCCTGCCTGCATCATGCTTGAAGCGACGACCAAGAACTCAAGAAGAGGAAGAAAGCTACGTGCATACGCGACCACGCCGGCCAGCCCGCATTGCATTTATATGCAACGCTAGCGTGAATGCACTGTGATACGCGCAGGTCGAATCGGAGAGGGTAAATTGGCTCTGTTCGTCAGCAATACAAGCTGCAGCTGCTGCATCGCAAATTCGCTACAAGCTGCACCAATTCTTAACTACTGGCCGCTCAAAAAAACTACCAGCCAAACAAATCAAATAAAAGCTCCCTCTATGTTTTTATGTTACAAGTTGTTTTATTTTTTTTAGTTAAAATTCTTTAAGTTTAACTAAGTTTATAGAAAAAGATAGCAACATCCACAACGTCACATTAGGTTTATTAAATTTAACATTAAATATATTTTGATAATATGATTATTTTGTATTAAAAATATTGTTATTTTTTTCTGAACTTAAGCAAACTTAAAAGTTTGGCTAATAAAAAAAATAAACGACTTTAATGTAAAACGGAGGAAGTAGTACAGTACATGCTGTAGTAGATTCGGACAGGATTCCTCTACGCCAACAGGAGTACTACAGGACTGGCACAAGTGGATGGACACGCAACCGGGGCCGAGTCGCACGCAACGTTGCGAAGTCCGCACGCCCGCGCGCTGGCCGACTGCATGCTGCTGCTACGAACGAACAGGCGCACGCACAGCGGCGCGCGCGTCCACGAGCACCGGCAGTAGCAGCCTGGGGGTTTGACACCGTACGTGTGTATGAGCGTGCGCGTGCGGCCGACGTCTCTGCAGGCTGCCACTGCATACTTCAAACCGGCACGCGCGTAGACGCGTAGTGCTGTGTGCTGCTGTGCCCCCCCGTTCGTCTTCGTCGTCGTCGTTTCTCCATACGCGCGCTTCGCCATGCATGGCCCATGGCTGCCTGCTACTGCCAGTCGCCGCCGCACCGCCGGCAACGGGGCCCCCGCCTTGGAAGCCACAGATTTAGCTGTAATGCTTCAAGACAGCAAGACACTGGGAAGTACTCGAGCGAACGGTGTGACGGATGACTGGATGATTAGCCCTAACGCATGGTGACGGATGATTGATTAGTCGAACTGGCAGGTGTGTCCCCGTTCCCAGCAGCAGCGCCATTGTCAGCCGACGAGCGAGAGGAAGATGTTTGGGCATCCGAGGCATTTTCGTCGTCCAATTGCGGTCGATAGCATCATTGCCTTCGGATGACGACTTCACACACCCATATCACATCACTCCTAAGTTCTGGACCACCGATTCTAGCTAATTATAACTTCTGAAGTCAAGGATAGACAAACGTCCCGCATATCAACATAGGGTATGTTTAGTTCATGAAAAAAATTTAAAGTTTAAAAAAAGTTGAGAGTTTTAAAAAAAAAGTTGAAAGTTTATACGTGTAGAAAAGTTTTTGATGTGATATGATATGATGGTAAGTCGGGAATAGAGGGGAAACTAAACACGGCCATACTCCGTGATGTCGTACTGTATTCAGAACGACGATTCAAGTGCTAATGTTTAACAAAGCCAAACATTAGTACTCCATCCATTTCATAATATAAGAAAGTCTTACATTATAAAATGGAGGAAGTACTCAATAGAGCTCATATCAGGGCTCATGCAAGGAATCTGAACACCGATTAAGCTACTTCTGAGTTCAATAGAGCCATACAGAGTAGGAGCTTGAACAAACAATTCACGGCTCATGCAAGGAATCAACTGAATCTACATGCTTCACGCACCACCATGACTGGAGCAAAAACAAATCGACGTGAACCCCAGAAACACGTTCTTATTACAGCAGGAAGGTCTGGAGCACACTGAATTACTTTAAGTGCACATCTGTTTGATGATCTCCTTGTTATTGGCAAGGTAGCTACACAGTAAGAAGAAAAGAGAAACGGAACACCTTGTTCTGATATGCATCCTTCCCTCAGAAAACGATGTTCTGCCATGGTTATGATCTGCAGACTTTCCTCATGCCCTTAGCTCGACATAGGATCCTGAGATGCCTGAGGTGCCAATCAGGGTGATCTGCAAGTGAAATAAATAAATCATGAGCTTCAGGTGTTGGATATAGATTTGTCCTTCTAACTCCAGTCGAAGCAAGGAGGAACGAGCATATCAGCTATACACTGACATGAAAATATTATTCCACACATGTTACAACGTCAAGCATGAACTCGTCTATTTTAATTTGAAAACAATTCAAACTCGGTCTAAATCATATGTTCCAAATTGGCTGGAAGCAAACACCCCTATAAGCCCTTATAAGGTTTGAAGTAAGTGGTGACAATGGTAAATGAACAGCTCCTTTTTTTTTGACTAATTACAGATAAAATAAGATAAGCATACCCCCTTCTTGAAAGTTAACATGTTACATGGTACCAGGGGTGTATGCCAGTGCTCAATTGGAAGTACTACAGGTCTCTGTGCAAGCAAACAACAAAATAACAAGCATGTACCTTTTATTACCGAGCCTTACACAGTGTATAGCTGTGCAGGATAAACTGATTTAGCTTCCATTTTACATTTACATTTATTTGAAGTATATCTAGCACAAGACTTGGTAAAATGAGAATGCGCTGCAATTGTTCTCAAATCTCAACTTACCTGTGCAATTTCCCTTCTTCAAACCAAATGAATAGATAGACAAGATGATGGTCCTAGTTCATTCACTTGGTTTTTTTGGATGAGGTTGAGGTGTTTATATTCACTCTAAGCTACTCCTTCCGTTCTCAAATACATGATTTTTTAGGATGTATGTGGTCAAACCTCAAAATCCTAAATCACGGATATTTGCAAAAACATTAAGATTTGATGTGAAAATGACTGTAGTAGATTTGTCGTGAAAAACACTTTAATGTAGTTTTAGTTTTAATGATTTTTATATACATATTCAATTAGAAAAGATATGATCAAACATGAGCCCTGGAGGCTGTGACAATGTTCTAATCGTCAAGTAAAAAGATGGATGTAGAATCTCATTTCTCCCTTTGTATCAAGCAAAATAATAATAAAGGACTGTCCTGACATAGTACAACCTACTCCAATGACAAGTGATGACCCAAGATGCAGTCTGATATTAAATGATCCTTAGCCATAGAAAGGAATATATTCTTAAACACAAATAACACATTTGTGATAGCAGAAACTGCACATACTAACTCTGCTTCTACGCTGAAAATAACATCTACACAACATCTTGAATACAATCATAAGAAACCATTAAAAATGATAGCATAAATCCGCACTAAAGCATACATCAGGACCCACAATCCATGGACTTGTCAAATGCAAATCTACCACAGAAGCTGTCACAAAGGTAAAATATACAACAGGGATAGGTAACATAAGAGTGTACCTTTCCCCACTCGGACCCTACACCACTGCACCGCATTTTCAGGTGTATCATTTTAGTCCCCAACTCATTCTCCACTTTCTTACGTAGATAATTTTCCTCCGGGCCAAATGATTCCAGATATTTCATGTAACGCTTATATGCAGATTTAACAGCATCTTCTATATAACCAGGCAAGGGGCCCACATTCTGCAAGAGCAAGGAGTGGTACAACAAGTAATAAGCATAAGAAAGAGACACTGATGACTGATCCCCCAAATTGGCAGAAAGCAATACATCAATGAGGGATATATGTGATTAGGTACTGACCTCACCAGTTATACCACAAAGATCATCTAGAGCCATTCTTAGGGTGACTAGAACTCCACCAAATTCTTCACATGCCTCAGCTGCACGAAATACATTTAGCAAAGCCTCTTTCCCAGCCTTATCATCCGTAGCTTTGGATGCAGCTTTCTTTGCTTCAATTACAAGAGAATCTGGAAGTCCAGTCCAGCTAGCAGCCATCAAATCCTTAAACGCAGATTCAACTTCTGGGTCAGATATCGCCGGCAGATGCTTTTCATTTGAGCTGAACAAGCGCCTCAAGTTCCATGAAAAGGCATTGTTGCCACCTGAATTTAAAACAAGTATAAGTTAAACAACATTGAGCACAGAAAATTTGATATTGGGGTATGTACAATTTTGAACTAAGGCAACAGTGTTACATTGCAGCAAAATGAAGACCACAAAAGGCAAGATGACATCAATGACTCTTCCAAATATATTTCTCTTTGTCAACCATCCTCTTACCATGCTTCTCCCATTCTTATACACTTATGGCATATAAAGGACAAACAGTGGTTTTTTTTCCCGTCAACGTATTCTTTGACAAAAAGGTTAGAGAATAATAAGCTTATTTACTTCAGAATCAAGTGAAAAATCTCACTGTTTTGAACCAGTTATTCTTGGTTTGCAGCAACATCATTTTAAACAATATTGCCTGTTATTATGTGATCAAAGATGCAACACGAGCAGGAACAACACTTCAGGACAACACATCTGAAGTGAAGTTCAGGATCAGCTTGGAAATGTAAACCTTTATACACAGAGTGTTAACATTTTTCCTATTGATGCTTTAACTACAACGCAGCGACCAACAATTGGCACCCCCGCCACCCCCGAACCTTGTATCTTTACAACCAATAACTTCCTGGCAAATTATTATCACCACACACGATAGCATCTCAAATCCAATCTCTCGGAGTTGAAATCCCCCAAAACAATCAGATTCTACCACACGGCAAACACAAATCTGGAATCAGCCTGCACAAGCAAGCAGCACGCACAGAACCCTAAACACGCATCGTCAGCCCAATCCACCCCAAACACGAACTGAAGGAGGTATCATCATCATCGACTACAAGGTAGCGAAACAGCAAGAACAAGAAGAGTCAGATGGGAGGAGGACCTGAGACGGCGGCGGCGGCGATCGGGCGCGCGAGGGGCGCCACCGCGGCGGGGCGGGAGGAGGCGGCGGTGAGGGTGGACAGCGCGGCCGGGGAGATCCGGAGCAGACGGCGCGCGGCGGCGCAGGAGGAGCGGAGGGCGGCGGCCATCGCCGGGGAGAGGGATCGCGGCGAGATGGAGGCGACGGAGGCGGAGACGAAGGGCGAGGTTTCGTGGTGGGGTGGGTGGAATCGGGGTGTTTTGTCGTGATGTTTTTTGTGTTTCGTGCGCTTATGTGGGCCTGCCATTTCGGCCCGTATTGAATATAGGCCCGTAACTTCGCCGTGACAGGACCACAAAAATGGGCCGTTTCTTCAACACGCGGCCCGCCTAACCAAGTTGGCCCGTTAGTGTGACAGGGCCCGGAGGCAGATTGGATCGCTACCATTTGGTCAGCCAGTGTGGGCTGAAACTCTGTCAACCTGGCACGTATGGTCTATCTATGCGGCCCAATGCTTATTGGGATCCCCTACAGTCGACCGCACCGTGCCTTACAAGCCGAAGGGATTGGATCGCTTGGTGACCATGCGTTCTGGGCTGGAAAAATATTTGTCAGGCCATTCCCCTGCGCCGCAGCCCATTGAAATCAGCCCGCTTTGCACGTCCGCTCTACGATTGTACATGGCAGCGCCCCGCTGCTCTGGCTACAAAGTTTTGCTCTACTCCTACCTGACACTGATGATGGAGTAGGATGGAAATGGAATTGAGCTGTGAGCTGTTACCACAGGCAAGAGATTTGGGGTTTCTATGGCTGGACTAGTAAAAACGTGAATATTAGAGAATGACCTAATATCAAATAATTAGAAGGGGTGAGGTTTCGAATCCAGAGCGTTTCTAGTTATGGCTGGACTAGTACTCTAGTAGTTTGGTACCAAGTTAACTATACTTCATTCATGTATGTCTTTCACGCTAGACAGCTGGTTGGCGATCAGTAAACACTCTTGCTGAGAAAGACCGAACTCCAAAAACCAAAATCGGCATGAAACTAATCAGCTCCACATCACCGCATTAATTAATTAGTCCCCACTAACATGATCTCCCAAGAAACCACACGCACCAAACACTCACTGATCGATCGATCGATCAGTAGACGTCACTCGTCCCACTCGGCTTCGTCTCCGCGGACGACGGCGTGCGAGCCCAGCGCGACGAAGGCGAACACCGGCGTGGCGAATCCCAGGGCCACGGCGGCGACGGCGACCCTCCTGAGCACGCCGAAGCAGCGGAAGCACCGGAGCCCCGGCAGGAACCGGAGGTAGACGCACCACAGCCACAGGGTGAGGCCGGCCACCGCCAGTGCCACCGACGCCGACGCGCGGCGGACGGCGCGCGCGCGCCGTGACCGCCGCCCCCACGTCGCCGTCGCCGTCGTCAGTGCCATGGCCGCCGCCGCCGCGGCCATCTGCGCCGCGCAGCTCAGCAGCATGCACGCCTCGACGCCGCGCATGGCGGCGGCCTCCTCGGCCGTCATCCCATCGCAAGAACACTACACGAGCATATATTACAAACACATCAGATTCAGACTAAAACGAACAGTGCAAAAATACAACTTGGAGGAGCACATGTGTTTAATTACCAGGTTTTCCGTCATTTCTGTGCCGTAAAATGACACGATCAAGTGGAAGAACACCACGCATGATGCAGTCCAGCCCCCGAAACAAAAAATGTATTCCAACGACGCAACCAGGGGATACATCATTATCTCTGCAGGCACAAAAAAAAATGAAGTAAAAAAAACATCATACATGGGCCGGGAGGGGAATTGGAGCAGAAAAAACGAATTATTCAAGGATTAACAGGAACTCACTCTCAAATCTGTCAACAAAAAGGGCGTTGCATCGTGCAGCTGCAGCTTGCTTCTTCATGGGAGGATGAGACTGCCTAGGATTTGAGTTGGCACGCAATGGATTTCTGGGCTTCAAGGGGATAGTGATATAGGCACATGTGAAATGAAATGAAACGGCTGCCAGCACAACGTGTTGCTGCACATACTCATATGCCAGGATGGTCATCTAGCTAGCTACTAAATCTTTGAAGTTAATTAAGGTCAGTATTACTAGTGCATGCATGGTCTGGCCAATTAGGCAGTGCATTTGCACAAGAATACAAGACCGGGCTGTCCATGGATTAAACGTAAGCACACTAATGTAGAAGGAAAAACGGAAACGCAGACGTGACTGCTCCAACCTGCCATATATAACTGGCCGGCTTGCTTGGCCAAAGCACCATTGCAAAGAGATGGAAGTTGCCGAATGCAAGTTAAGGTAAGGCGTCTGCAAATAATGCGCTGTGCTCAAATGCTTAACTTGTAAAGTTGTACTAAATATATAAGGATGTGAATCGATCGGAAGCTTTAATTGGCGGTTAACTGGTTATGTTCGCATGTGGCCACGGGGCAGAAGCGAGATCATCAACCAACGCTTTCCCGTTTTCCATTTCGGTGTCGCGAGTTGTGAGTGGGTGGATGATATATCGATCGGGTATTCGCCATTCGGGGAAGTGAAGCACACGCAGCAGGCAATACCACGCTGTGATCATCCCAAGCTAGAAGGGGCCATGGAAACGGGTTCTACTAGAATGGTGTTAGCGAGTTCACATTGTTGATTGGAAGAACAACCACGTACATGTAACAATTTGATCAGAGAGGATTTAATCTCTTGACACTGGGAAGTAGGAAGAAGGCGACGTGAAACCACCAATTGCCGATCCAAGCTAGCTGCAGTAGTTGTTTCAGAATGGAGCAAATAGTATGTATGATGAGTGTGTAAAAACGGCAGTGTGACGACACTACCACCGGTCTCTGCGTGCGAGACCTTAACCAACAAATGCAGTTCTCTCTCTGGCTCCTTTACTCACCGCGGGCTCTTTAGTGGCAGCTAGCTTCGCTGCACCTGCAGGTGCGTGCGATCGAGCTGCATCAGAAGGTAAGGTGCACAAGCTAATTACTGCAAGGAAAAAAAAAGATGGTCAGTGAGAGAGCTTCCAGTGAATTAAATTTGAAAATATACTGTTTATTTAATTTTTTTCTCAGGAATATTCGGGGTGCAAAAACTTGTGCAGAAATATACCATCAGTGTCGCACTTCCGTTGCGCGAAAATGACGTGGGGATGACGTCGCGGGTGATATCGCACGGCAACGGCGCGAGACCGTGCGGTCTCACGGAATGGAAGAGCGAGACCGTTCGGTCTCGCAGAAGCAATCAGCGACATTGTCCAATAGGATCCATTTGATTAGTGGTTAATTACTTAATTAACATTTAACTAATAATAATTAGTGATTAATTATTCTAATTAATGATTAATTAATTAATTATTAATTAATCACTAATAAGGATAATTAACCACTAATTAAATTGGCAAGGCACGGTATCGCTCTTTGCTTGAGCGATAGCGTTGATTGCTTCAGCGCTATCGCTGTTTGCTTGGGCGAGACCGCGCGGTCTCGCACTGCTACCGTGCGAGACCGTGCGCTTTCATTGCGCGATACCGGTCGCAACGTCATTTCCACGTCATTTTCGCGTAATGATTGTGTGAGACCGATGGTATATTTGTGCAAAAGATTTTGCATCCCGAATATTTCTAACAAAAAATTGAATGAATGATGAATGGCAGGATGGGTGATTCGGCTTGCAAACAAGGCAGGCCAGTACAGAACGTCTATCGTGGAGTAAGCATATATATATATATATATATATATATATATATATTCTGAAAGTAAATATTAAGGGTGTGTTTGAGGAGAAGGGGATTGAGGAGATTGGGGAGATACGTAAAACGAGGTGAGCCATTAGCTCATGATTAATTGAGTATTAACTATTTTAAATTTCAAAAATAGATTAATATGATTTTTTAAAGCAACTTTCCTATAGAAATTTTTTGCAAAAAATACACCGTTTAGTAGTTTGAAAAGCGTGCACGTGGAAAACGAGAATCAATCTCCCCTGTCTCCCCGGAACTTTTGATTCAACTACGAGAAATGGGGTGTGTTCTACATTCGTGATGAGACTGGGAACCTGTTGATGGCTGTAGCCGAAAGGTTGAAAAAGTTAGTACAAGATTTGAGGCATCTGCTGCTGCAGAGAGAACAGTGGTTTTGCTAGCGGAAATGGGCATTGCAACTTGCAAGCTTGGGTGCGTACAAGAGGAGAGGAAATCTGAATATACGACATGAGGTGAGTCACTGTCGTATGATTAATTAAGTATTAATTATTTTAAACTTGAGAAATAAATTAATTTGATTTTCATAGCAACTTTTTCATAGATTTTTTTTAAAAAAACACACAGTTTAATTGTTCGGCAAGCGTGCGCGTGAAAAAACGAGACAAATCTACTCTCTTCCATGCGCTGCCGAACACTGCCAACTATTTAATATATATTGTTCTCAATCTAGTTTAAGGTTTGAATGATTCTGAGGCAAAATAATGGTGTTAATGTTGTAATTTTTACAGTAGATAAACTTTTTGTGCTATCTAGTTATAATGATGTTAGACTCCAACAATGTCCAGTCGTGTTGCCCGTTCTTTTGTCGGATTTGGGAGCTTCCATGGAACGCGACAAATCATTTGTCCTGGTTTAATAACTTTGTAACTCGTGTGGTAGCTAGCCACTTAGCTTGTTTGGTAGGAGGGGTTAGGTCCTCCCGACATGCAAAATGAAATACGTATTATTGCATAATTAATTAAGTATTATTTTTTTAAAAAAAGGGTTAATATGATTTTTATAAAACAACTTTCATATATATATATTTTTGGCAAAAAACACATTATCTAGTAGTTTGAAAAGCGTCCGCGTGGAAAACGAAAGAGGTGAGTTGGAAAAACTGGGAGAATAACACAGTCTATATCATCGTCCTAATGGAATGTACTTTTCATGTTCTAAAAATAGCAAGGATCAAGGATGTGTTAGGAGGCTAGGAGCTATTATCTTACAAGGTTGTAATTTTATAATTTTCTTCTGCTATATCAATACGAGATCTCGCACTATTTTGAATGCATCGTTTTAAAAAACATGGAAATTTTTGTAAGGAAAATTAATGTAGGAAAAACTCCTACATAGTGGGCTAACTCTGTGTATCTCTGATGTTAAACTGGCCCTCAAAAGAAATCCTCCTTGGTCCAACATGAAGAGGTCCAAAAGGTAGTAGAATACCTTATGCATATGCTCTAGGGCTCTAGGCATGGCCCCTGCGTACTTTGTCCCGAGAGAGGGTACACCGTGTACATAGTCTGATCTTGACTGTCAGGGTTGTTTCCTAATGCAATGACAAATGGGACTATAAATCTATAATTACCCATACTTGTGTTCCTTCAAGTTGCAAACGTATAGGTCGCGTGCCATCTTAAGTGCCTGGTGAGCGATGGAATCATGATCCAATTGATAGACTAATCACCATCAATGATAGCCAAGTGAATGGAACCAAAATATCCCTGCGACGATCCTGCCAGCCTCAACATGCACAATCCTCCCCTCTCCTCTCCCAGCCTCCAAATGACCAAATCCAACCGTATCTCCCCACCGCCACTTAACAACACCGTCGACACAAACCCAGGCTGATACGGTCATGATCCGATCGCCCAGTTTAATTCCCGTCCCCACCCCCCTGAAAAGTTCGGTCCTGATCGTATCCTCATCGTCATCGCCATCATCATCAAAACCTGCAGCTGTCCCTGCGATCCTGTCATGTCGCGCGCAGGTGATCTCCCGATTCCTTCCTGTCACCCCCCCCCCCCCCCCGAAAAGTGATCGCTTGTCCACTTCTGCAACACTCCCCCCCCCCCCCCCCTTCCCGCGTTTCTTTCTCGCATGACAGATTGTCAGGCGACGTCGCAACCGGCGCAACCACACGCTACTCTCCAAACAAAACCAACCACACCGCCATGTGCAGCGCCCACCCGCGGCGCGTACGCATCGATCGGCGTCCGCGACCGCGAGCCAGCCGCAACTTGCACACATGGGCGTACGTACGTACCCCCTCGCGCACATGCCCGCATAATCTATGTCCTCCCGTCGCCGCCGCCGCCGAGCCCGCCCGCGCGCGCCGTGAGCCGAGACGAGACGACTGACGAGAACGAGTAGTCTCCACCGCGTAATGCTGTCTCGCGTACGTCGCGCGCGGCGGATGCGGGTGCGGGGGGCGTCTCACGGCAATTTTGTAATGGCGCACGCGAGCCGCGCGCGCGGACGGGCGGCGTGGCGTGCAACTGGCTGCGGGAGCAAGTAGGGGGAAGTGGAGCTTTTCGGAATTATTGCGCGGGGATCCATGCACAAAAAAGTATCGGAATCTTCCTGATTGGGCATGATTAGATTAGATAACGCAGCGTAGCGTTGCTGCATCGTCAATCCGAGAGAGGGAGAGAGAGAGAGAGAGCCCACATGCTTGTCCTGCCATCTGGGAGGTTGGCGATGGCGATATGGCTTTGACCTGCCGAGTACAGTGTTAGTATACTAGTAATAACGATCTTTGCGGCTCATTGGTAGCTGTTAATTACTCTGTCGCCTTAACCATGCCTATATATGGGTATACATTTAGGTTCTTGCATGCTCTTCTTTCTCTAAGCACACAACTACCACCAACTAAGCACTCTTGATCTGCTGCCTGCCGAAACATTTTTTTGCTGGTCACTACCGACTGAGACCGGCTTCGATCTCTTCTTGCAACTCTCGCCGTCGCCGAGCGGCAGCTTAATTAGGTGCGTACTCATCCTCTGACCAGCACTGCATTTGCTACATAACAAGTAGGGAGTAATTTCGGTTTACTAGTTCAGATGTTGTTGCTTGACTAGATTAGATTATGATGATCCTGTCAAACGTGAATCTGCATTTCGCTGTTTAAGTGGTCTGCATTTCGCTGCTGCCCACAATCACATATTAAAGTTATCTGCAGCTGTGACGCAGTTCACAGCTGCATTCACTGCATTTTTTGTTTTTGTTTCCTGGAGAACATGTACTGCTACATCTTCAGAGCTAAGCTGCCGTGCATAACTATATCTGATGATCCGAGGCACGATCAGTTCTGTGCGCACAGTTTGGCATATCGTTTATTTTTGTCAAATGCCTAAGAGTCAGCGAGCAATCGAGCATCATCATTCTCTGATAAAGAAACGTTATGCATCCAGACATCTGGCGCATTTTTTTCTCAAGTAATGAAATGATTAAGAAATAAGTACACGCTCGATCGTGAGCGAATATTCAGAATACGGGTGGGTGGCGCAACTGCAGCCATATGGGCAAGTTGGCCAACCTGTACCCTTCTCGAGAAAATCAAGTGCCAACGTGTACAGAAAAAATGGAAGCAAGTAGCAGTACTACTACTTCCAGCACAGACGTAAGTTATCAACCATAGATAACAATATAATATTGTCATTATGAGAAGCTAATTGTGCCAGATTAGATCTTGTCATGCGTGTGCTGGAATATTTGCTTTGCTAAAAGCGTCTTGCGGCCAAGAGAAAACCCAGCGTGATTAACCTGACCCGGTCGGGTTCCGGTTGGGCCAGCTGGTCAAAGACTTTAGCTCTATAAACTTGTATACATCTAGCATCTAAGAAAAGAAAAATGCTACAGCGACTGTAGCCAATTCTCCTGTAAAGGGAAGTGATGCACTACACGGTTCTTTCTCATCATGTGAACCCAGGCAAGTGATTGTAGGAAGAAGAACAATATGCAAAGTGAGATATGTACCCCGTGAGTGATCGATCAGAACTTCAGAAGGTCTAAAAGCCGAATGAATAATGATCTTTTTTTTTTCGTAAAAAGATGTTATTAGAAGTATGTGCACCGTAGTGGGGTTTATCTCGAGGATGGAAAAGCGCCCAATTGCAGGAGGAGATGATGCTAAACTAATCAAGGCCACTACCTCCAGTCCTTCACCCAAAATCACATGCACGCGTCACTGTCCCCACCACCACTGCCTTTCATCCATTGTCAAGATCCATCTGACGGTTTGGATAGGTTCTCCTCAATCCCTTCTACAAGTGACCACACACACCAAATTCTGATGCGTACAATATCAGTTTTAGCAGTACTAAAGATATATTTTTTTGATAAACCTTATAATGCGTAGAAAAGAAAATTATTCCCCAATTCTAATGAGAAAAAACAACAGTATTAATTAGTAGTAGCACTAAATATATTTCTTTTAGATAATTTTTATGATAATAATCCTTATAATGCGTACTACTATCAGAAAAGAAAATATTCTGGTGATTTGTCAGTGAGATTTTTTCCCTGTTTTTCTGTGGTGATGCTGTGTGAGGGGGACTAGGAGTGTTCTAGTCAACTTACTGTTTTTATGACGAAGATCGCTGGACTGTGTGGACCGGGCCCTATCCGGGGGCCCAGCCCGGGCCCAGGGGCAGGACGGAGACGACTTTGGACTGACGAGTTTTAAAGACCTCGTCTTGGTTGGGATTAGCATATTAGCATATCATCAGCATTAGCGATACAAAGCTCTCTCCGGTTTACAACGAAACGCCAAGAAAACGAAGGCCACGAGGAGAGGAGAGGCGAGGCGAGGTGGACGCGTCCAAGCAGAATCCCAAATCCCAAGCCCTCTCTCTCTCTCGCTCGCTCGCGCAGGAGCGAGAGATCCCACTCTCTCCCCACCATTTCCCCCCCCCCCCCTCTGTGTCCCCTCCTCCTCCTCTACACCTGGTTGGGCATGGCGCTGCGGCGCGGGTGGAGACGAGCGGCGGCGGCGGTTGTTCTTCCTGCCGCCTCCGTGGAGTGAACCACCGACGACGACGACGAACAAGGTGACGATGGGATTCGGGTTTTCTTAATCTTTTCTAGTAGTACTAAGTTTGTTTCCGTTTAGGATCGATTCGTGTGGTTTTAGCGTTTGGAATGGCGCAGTGATTTGGTCTCTCTGGTTTGGTTTCCTGTTTTAATGGAACAGTTCGAGGGGAGACACGAATAGCCGATTAGGAATTCGCGGATTGTTTTCATCATTTTTTTCTCGGTTCTTTTTATGGGAATTTGGATTTTTCTAGGCATGAATTTTTTGTATTCTGCTGCGCAAATTTAGCCGAGGATTTGTGGAGTTCCCCCGAGAACAAAGCACTCGCCCACCACCGAAAATTCCGGTCGTTTTAATAGAGGGAAAGTTTCAAATTTTCATTTCTGTCGGTACGAAAACGGGTGAGCTTTTAACTCTCTCGGATCGCTTTATCGCCACGATGATCGGATTTTTGTTCCTTTTAATGGCGCGCATAGTCGAGAATCTTTAATGTTCTTTCAACCCCAGCAAATCAGCAATCCCTTTTCTGTTCATGTTTTCATTTTGCTACAGCCGCCAGATTTATAGCACTCAATTAATGCTAAATGATTTTGAAAAGTGCGAAACTTTAATCCGTCTGATTGCAGGTTCAGTGTACTCCTAAATCATTTTATTGAAGGGGAAAAACAAGGAAAGCGAAGAGTCAAAATTTCTTCCTTTTGTTTTAGGCCTGCATTTCTGCCACAGAATTTCGTTGTTTTTTTTTTTCCTCTCTCTCTTTGAACACCTTAATAAAGGACGCGGTTTTAATGGCCAACTACTCGCCTACGCCCTGAGCCTGCGTGGCCATCGGCGTAGAGGTAGGATAGCCGGCGCGCGGCGGCTGCGCACGTCGCTGACAGGTGGGCCCGTGCTGCCAGCCAGCCAAGCACCGGCACTGCGCGGTAGCAGCAGTTTTTACGGTGCCAGCCGCCCCCTAGTCGAAAGAATCAAAGAACTCTCTTTTACTTTTGTCCCTTTTTAGCCTTTCTGCGCTGTTTTTAGCTGTTGCTTTGTCTCGGTTACTTGGGATCTGCGCCCCCGTGTGGGTTCTTGGGGTTGGGGTTGGGCTCTCCTGTTCCTGTTCCTGCTCCTCATGTTGGGTGGGATCCCCGAGGTTGGGTTTTGCGTGCGTGGTTGGTGAGTTATTGGTTCAGGGAACAGTTGGCGTGGGGAGAGGCAAGGAGCATCCTGTGCTTTGTTCTTGTTTGTTTTTCTTGGTAATTAGATGCTTCTTCTGTTTCACTGTTTGCATTTTGTATTAGTTGTGCTCTGTAAATGGTTAAATTTGCAATTATCTTTTATGTCCATGTAGTCCATATTGTTGTACATTAGGAGGTAATGTTGTTGTTTGCTATATATATATCACGAGGCTGATTACCTGTGTTGCCAATTGCAGATGACATTTTGAGCACCGCGTGCTAACTTCACAGAGGGTGAGAGAACCCCCCTCTGTGTTGATTCTTTTTCTTGGGCTAGAAGTATTTCGGTTAGATATGCCAAGTTCCGAATCAGACAGGGATGATATCTTCTTTGATGCATTTGATGATGTTACTTCAACAAGGGAGCCTTCATTGTCAGATGATTGCAGCACAAGTGACGAAGGATTAGCATCAAGGAGATTTGAGTATGATATTTGGGGAAACGAGCCAATGAGTGTTGAAGAAAGGCGGCAAAGGTTCCTGAAGGGAATGGGGTTTGATGAATTTCTTGCTACCAGAGTGGATTTTTCTCAACCACAGGGAGAAATCACAACTGTTGGTCCTTTCGCTGACTTGGGGTTGGAGGAGAGTACTACCAGTGACATTTCTTCCGTGAATTCATCTGTTCCTGAGAATGAATCAGTTTCTGATGCCTCCTGTTGCATAGGAGATATTGACAGTGGCGAGAGATACACAGTTCAGAATGATGGATACGGCGAATTGACTAGCATGCTTAAGGATGTGGCATCACATAAGGTGGTGTCTCTTCTGGAGTTTGATGGCGTACCAGGCCTTTCTCAATCTGTTCAAAAGTTGTTGCGCAAGGTGTATAGCAGTTCTATGGAAGAGAAAAAGAATGTGTTTAATAAGAAAAAGGGTGTCAAGAGCTTGTGGAAGAGCTTCATGAAAAACAGGAGTTTTGGTGGAATTTGCAAGCACGACGTCAATGTAAAAAACTGCACAATAGGCATACCATCCAGAACAAAAGTTCAACATCGAAAGAAAAAAACTATGGAATTTTCTGCTGTCCATCTGGGTCAAGAAATCCAAGCTCACAAGGGTTTAATTAAAGTCATGAAATTCAGCCCGTCAGGCTGGTATTTGGCAACTGGTGGTGAGGACTGCATTGTACGGATATGGCAGATTATGGAAGTGGAAGCATCTTCGAAGTTGCATGGGGGAGACAACCCTCAGAACTATGATGATAAAATTACAATCATCAAAACGGAACTAGGAAGAGGGAAGAATCATGCCCTTGCAGTAGTGCCAAAGAAGGGTTTCCGCATTTCAGAGACTCCATTACATGAATTCCAAGGCCATACAGATGATATCCTGGATATGGCATGGTCAGAGTCAGATGTAAGTTTTTCTCTTGTATCTTACTATATTGCTAGCATACGCAATTAATCATACTCAAATTGCTTGTCTGAAAATACAATTTCTGTCCAATGTCTATCAACATGGTTTCATGTACCATAAACATATGTTAGCATATCTTCAATTTTTCATATGCTTACTAGGTCTGAACTGGTTTGACTGCAGTATCTCTTGACCTCATCAAAAGATAAGATGGTGCGTTTGTGGAAAGTTGGCTGTGATGGTTGTCTTGGACTGTTTAAACACAAAGACTACGGTAAGCAACATACTATTATAGTGTTCTTTACTACTAATTATTTGCTCTGTATGGTTTTCGGGCCCAGTTTTCCTTATAAACTGAGTAAATTCTCTTCTTCTAAATATAAAAGTTGGAACAAAGTTCCGCCTCGGTTTCAAAAAAGAATTATTTGCTCTGTGTTGATTATATCCTTATTGCGATGAAAGACAGTCTTATAATGTTATATGTACTTTGGGCTATTGCATTGACTTTTTTTTTCATTCCTTTGAAATTGTTAACAGTGACATGTGTTCAATTCAATCCTATCGATGAAAGATACTTCATCAGTGGTTCAATAGATGGAAAAGTTCGTGTTTGGGATGCTTTGGATAAGAGAGTAGTTGACTGGACTGATACACGGAAGATCATAACTGCTCTTAGTTACCAACCGGATGGAAAGGTTTGAATCTGATCAAAATGTAGTTTGAAATATTCTGCACAACTAGATGTTAATTATTAATTTGTTTTTTTTTCAAACCAGGGCTTTATTGTTGGCACTACTTCTGGAGAATGCCGCTTTTACGATCAATCAGGTACATAGAGCTCATTGTGCACACTACCTGCGTGCTTTCTGTTAGTAATATGACTATTGTCCCAATTGGTGTGTTTGTACGTCTAACTGAGCAGTTCATTTTCTTGATTAGGTGAAAACATCCAACTAGACAAAGAATTGTTTATGCAAGGGAAGAAGTCTGCTGTCCATCGGGTCAACAGTCTGCAGGTTGATTTCTACTCCTCACTTGGTTCGTTTAAGATTTCTTTAACAGTGATATCGACAAGCAATAATCTCCATGGAGTCGTTAATATCATTCCACTAATTTGTGGTTGTCATTTTGCAGTCACGTTCAAGTGATTCCTCTAGGATTACAATAACATCAACGGGTTCCAAAATTCGAGTTGCCGATGGTGTTGATATCATTCAAAAGTTTGAAGGTATATTTGCTAAACAAGATGCCATATTTCATTCCTGAGAAGTCTGTCATTTTATAACTGTTTTTCTTATACAGTAATATTTTGTGGCCTCAGTACTGATATCTCCTTTTATATACCTTCTGATGCAGGGCCTTGGAATTTGAAGGCTCTTTCTTCACCATCTTTAACATCAGATGGAAGATATCTCATATCTGCCGGATTGGATTCCAATGTCTACATCTGGAACTTTGACATTCCAAGTGTCGCCGATCATAAAGGCGAAGCTAAATCGGTTCGCTCCTGTGAGAAATTCTTCTCCAAGGACGTGACAACCGCGGTACCATGGCCCGGGCTGCATCAAGAAAGACAGCAGGTGAAGAATTCTTCCAGCCTGACTGAAGAATCCGTCAGTTCACCCATTTTGCACCGCCACGGGGAACGCCGTTCCCCCGCAGCGCGGTGTTTCGCTGACGGCATGAAGGGTACTCCGACATGGCCGGAGGAGAAGCTTCCACCTGCAAAAGCCGCTGATGCCCCACGACTGTCTGACTGTCTCTCCACGATCTCGCCTGCTTGGAACACGGTGATCGTGACTGCAAGTCGAGACGGTGTGATCAGGTCTTTCCACAACTACGGCTTGCCTGTGAGATTGTGATGATCTGCAAATGCAAGGCAATCAGCTTTGGTATAGTCTGACTCTGATTTGCGTGCGTGCGTGAGTGTGTTCGCTGAAGAAGAAGCTACAGAAAACTGTAGCTTTGGTGATAGCCTTTACTAACACAGTAAAGTTTTTTTGTTGGTAGTAGATGGTAGGAAGGTGAGGAGAGGATCTTATTTTTTTTGTACTGCGAATTCAGAATCTGAACTTGTGGTGCTTGTCGAAATGAGGTGGTCAATCCAGAAGCGTTTTTTCCCTCTTGTCCATATGCTTCTGTACCATTTCAGTCCATTTTTACCATGTACTGCTCCACTTGTGGGAAGACTTCTTCCCTCTGAATACTGAATCTGACCTTGATCAGAAAACAATTCAGAAATACTGGAGTACTACCTCTCTCCGAGGTAATTAACGAGCAGATCTAATAATTAAGAAAGTGCAACTAACCAGCAGCTGATGCGATGCCGTTGGCTCAGCTCAGCTGACGTCGCCTGCTATCCCTGTCATCCCTACGTAGGCCAAGCTGTGTGAAGTTGAGATGCTTTGTCTGCATTTTAGGGGGTGTTTAGATGGGGCTAAAACTTTTTAGCCCATGTCACATCGGATGTTTGGACGCTAATTTGGAGTATTAAACATAGACTAGTAAAAAAACTAATTTTATAAATGAGAGCTAATCCGCGAGACGAATTTTTTAAGCCTAATTAATCCATAATTATCAAAAGTTTACTGTAGCATCACATTGTCAAAATCATGGCGTAATTAGACTCAAAAGATTCGTCTCGCGAATTAGTCCAAGGTTATGGAATGGGTTTTGTAAGTAGTGTATGTTTAATACTCTAAATTAGTGTCTAAACATCCGATGTGACAGGGACTTGAAATAAGTCCCTAGAAACCAAAAAGGCCGTTAGTCTACCTCTAGTCAAGCAGACGAGGACAATCGCCGACCGCGTATGATCCTGGGCATAGCGCTTTCAGTCCGTGGTTCCTCCAGTTACTTATCGTTAGTCAGGATCAGGGGGGATCACCGTGACCAACATGTACATGCCGAGATGCAGTGGTGGTATGGGAGGGGAAGGCGGCCAAGCCTCACAATTTCTCTTCAGCTAATAACCGTGGTGTTAATAGATCAATCGATTGCCTAATTATTCTTTACCCGTCGACGGTGTGATGTCCGTGTTAACTTTATCAATCACAAGATAGCCGGCTTAAACTTTCAAAGATACTTACGAGAGTAAGAAGTACGTGTGTATTTATAAAAGTGAGTGTATGCGCGTTGTGATCATTTGTTTGCACTGTGTTTCATAAAAAAGACCAGTAAAACCAGCCGATTCAACAGAAAAATATGATCCTACAGCGAGAATTATTATACAACCCACTACTATAGAGTAGTCCAACGGGGCTGTATAATCTAAAAGTGAAAAAGTAAAGACACAAAGTTTATGGTGAGACCCTCTTCTCTTATCAAGTGTATAAATTAGCAGATTACCTATTTATATAATGCAAATCCATATGTGAAAAGTTTCTTAACATGAATGAATGTTCGCTTTAATGTTTTATGGGCTAGAAAAAGCAAGGAATGGTACCTTTGTGGTGGTTATAGCTGAAACGCCAAAGTGGATGATAAAAGGGAGCTATTTTTGGGAGCTTGACAAATATCAACCGAGTGCTGCTATTTGGTAGGTCCCCTAATACACGCGCTGTGATGGTAAGGGGAAGCCGAGGGAACGCATGTGGAAAATGAGACAAGACATGCACAACGAACGGCTCCATGGTCCAATGCACCGTGACCACGACCTCCGGCGGGGTAGGGAGAACAAATTTTGTGCCAAGTGTGGTAGGAAGGATGCACAGATGTAATATCTTGGTTAGTTGGGGAAATTTTTTAGGTTTGTTTGTTATATCGGATATACGAACACACATTTGAAGTATTAAACGTAGTCTAATAACAAAACAAACTACAGATTCTGCCAGGAAACTGCGAGATAAATTTATTAAGTCTAATTAATCTGTCATTAGTAAATGTTTAATATAGCACAACATTATCAAATCATGGCGCAATTAGGCTTAAAAGATTCGTCTCGCAATTTACACGTAAACTGTGTAATTGGTTTTTTTCCCCACATTTAATACTCCATGCATGTATCCAAACATTCGATGTGACGAGTGAAAAGTTTTTGTTTGGGAACTAAACAAGGTCTAAGTTATAACAACCAACTGGCCACATGCAATTTTTTCTATACGAGCTATATGTAAGTTATAACGTAATTATAATATAGTTATAAATTTATAATATAATTATATTTTAATTATACTATTGTCACATTTAATTTTTTCTACCAATCAATTGTCTAATATTGTATAGCTACTCCCTTTCTTCAATTATCTTGTTATTTGGCAAGAAAATTCTCATAGGTAGCAATACATTATTTTATGGGTGGATCTAGATACAGCTTGCATGGTGTGTTGGGCATAGGTTAAGTCTCTTGTTGGCACAGCTTACAGATCCAATATTTCTTAGAGCTGGATATTCATAACTCCATAAATCTATAAATCTATATTTGCGATTATTTTCATAACATTTCCTATTTTAGCTAAAATTTAAAATTTTAAACCACTTTAATATTTTAGATAAAATTTAAAATTTTAAACCTCTTTAATTAAACATTGAAATTTCAAATTTACAGTGAATATGGGTGTGTTCGGCTGCCATTTTTTCAGCTGCGGCTACGGTTGCAACATTTCAAAATTACTGCAGCTTACAACGATTTTGAACTACCGCAGCCGCAGCGGCTGCAGCAGCCATACCTGCCGAACAGGGCCTATGTGATCTGTAGTTGTGCCAACCGGACCTAAATCTAGAGTGAAACACACAAGCGGTCCCTAAACTAGGACTTATTACAATGTGTTGTCTCAGTTCAAAATTGTCATGGCTCATTCGGGATCATAATATAAGTCACGCTAAGAGCAGGTATAATAGCAGGCTATAAGCCAGCTATAAACATATTTTAAAGAGATAAAAAAAGAGAGAAGAGCAGCGGTTTACAGATCTGTAGCCAGCTGCAGCACAGACTTCAAGATGTAATGTGTGTATGACAGGTGGAACCATGTATTAATAGTATAGTAAGCAACTATTATATGAATTGACTATTACATTGGCTATAAATAAATGATTTGGAGACAGTAATAGGCTACTATTAAACTTGCTCTAACGCGGCTGCCACCCCTCCCTCCTGTCACCTCATTTCTTTCCCTCTCTATCAGCCAGCGGCAGAATCAACTAATACATCATTACTTAGGTTAATTAACTAATTAATTAGATAACTGTGTATTAAAAATTGTTACAGAGAGCCAGGCCACCGGCCGTCCCCTTGTCTCTGCCACTGTTGCCAGCGGTGCCTCTCAGTGGAGCTGTGTAGGTTGTTGCTGCTAGGGTTGAGAGGAGGGAATTTTTTTAGAAATAATATTATTTTAATGGAAAATTGCAAAAGTAGAAACTGGTCAGCTAAAATTGCAAGTTTAACATCATGTCAAACTACAGTTGTTCGACAGGGTTGTTGTTCACTTAAAAAAATAGAAAAGGACTAGAAAGAGCATGGCAGGGGGCCTATTGAACATCCAAAGTTCGATAGGTCTGCATGCACAGAGGTGCACAGTAGTGTATAGTGCGCATAGTGATTGATCTCTTTTTTTCTATCATTTTTTATCTCCTATCGAACAGGGGCAGTTCGATAGGGTATTTTTTATGCCCTGTCGAACAACCACAGTTCGACAGATACCCTGTCGAATTATGGTTGTTTGATATATCCCCCTGTCAAACTGTGGATATTTGACAGGGCAGCCGATCAGCTTCTACTTTTACAATTTTCCATTAAAATAATATTATTTCTAAAAAAAAATTAGGAGGAGGTGACAACCATATTAGCGTCAAGTAGGATTTCTAATGGGTCATGACAATTTTAGACTGAGATGACACACTTTAATAAGGTCTAGAATCTATGGATTTGGATTTTTCAAAGTATAAGAACCTATATGACACAATATAACAAATTTAGGAGCTGTTGGTGTATTTTACTTATAAATTTATATGCCACTAATTTTATCATATTGGTACGGAAAGAAAGGAGTTATGTCTACGTAGTTAGTATAGGACACTTGGTAATTCCCGTTCTATATGGACTCATTCATGATCCACAAGCCGTACTCGGGAACAAAGCAAGAACACAACAAAACTTATATTGTTGGAACTGAAACGGCCATAATAAAATTAGTTTGTAATTGATTCTCTATTAATAGTGCAAATCGGATAGCTAAATGGTGTCACCATGCATATGTCCACCTAAACTCCTGGTATGTTTGAGGATCGACAAAAAAGGGCAGGCGAAAATAGAGAAGAGATCACGAAACGCCCACACCTGGGTACGCAGAGAGCGAAATCAACCGCATGGCGGCGGCTTTTCGACACGCGGCGAAGGGTGTCGTCGGAGCCGGCGGCCGTACGTCGCGTGCTACGGACGGCGGCGGCGGCGGCGGCTACTATCCTCAAGGAGGAAGAATGGCGGGTGTTGCTGCTGCCGAGGCTAGCTTATCCCCCCGGCACCGGCGGCGCCAGGTCGACGTACGACGCCGCTCCTCCGCTCATTCACCTCCGCGGCCGGCGGAGCACCAAACCATCACACGCCGCGCACGCCGTCTCATCATACGAATCCGGCCGGCAACATGAGAGAATTACCTGCAACAACAACAACGACAACAACGTACGACTAGCCAAGTCGAGGAGAAGAAGAACGAGCTGCTCAAAATCTGCTACCCGAGATGGAATAATCCAGCGGTGAAATGTCCAACCAGGCGGACAAGAAGTTACTGCTCAGGCTGCTTCCACAACACTACCACCACCATCTTAAGCCTAAGGCGAATGGTGATAGCTAAGGACGGCGCTATTTCTTGAAATGGAGTGCAGTGAGCTATGTTTTGTATACAGGGACGGAGCTAGAATAAAATAAAAGGGGTTCCACTCGCTTACTTTACTCTGCTTTAAATCAAATTTAGCTTGATACGGGTGTCTATATTTAAACTGACGGGGTATATATATGGTCAAAATAGATAAACTATAGGTAAAAAAATTTTCGAACCGGGTTCCTGGGCACCCCCCTAACAATACTAGCTCCACCCCTGTTTGTACATGTACTTTCTCCGTTTCACAATGTAAGTCATTTTAGCATTTTCCACATTTATATTGATATTAATGTCACGATCACCGTGGAGCAAGGAG